ATAATGACAACTTTAGTACTAAACTATTACGGCAGGGACAATATTCCCAATTAGAATAGTAAAGAAAGGCCTAAACAGAACCAATATCTTACTTGTAAGCCGGGAAATACAGCATTGTTGATGGCAGACTCTAGATCGACACCATGCACAGAATCTTTCTTGAAGAATATCATACCACCTCTTGGACCTCTCAGGGACTGGAGAAATAAATTTAATTGTAATGAGTCATGGGCATGCGAACACAAAGAAAGAGGAGTATTTAGTTAAGATTAAATGTATGTTTTTGTTAGAAGAATGAAAGCAAATTCAGTTCCCTTATCTTTTTGAATAAAAAAATTAAAGCACGATATTGGGAATATCCTGAGGAAAACCTTGTGAGTTGTGGTTGTCACAATATCACAAAATTCAAAGGGATCAGCAAGCACGCCAGCAGCAACAAGTCCACTAATATGAGCCATATCCATCATAAGAAAAGCACCAACTTCATCGGCAATCTTCACATGGATATCACATGTAATTAGCTTTTTAAACAAAAATCACATATCACATGAAGGGATATTCAATCACAAACAGAATATTCTACAGAATACATATGAACAAGGTTACTTTTCTCATCCGTGGATAGTCAATGTCTCGAGGATAAGCACTTGCACCAGCAATGATGAGTTTGGGTCTGAAGAGATTAGCAGTTTTCTCAAGCATGTCACAATCAATGAGGCCTGTTCACAATTCAAAAGTACTTAAGCTTCTTGTAAGCTATTAAACATAGTTGCCATAATTTAATAACAAAAATGCAAGCACCTGTAGTTTCATCAAGTCTATAAGGCATAGATTCAAAATAAATTGATGTTCCTGATACACGTCTTTTGGGAGTCATGAATCCATGAGATAAATGCCCCCCATGAGGTAAGTCCAAACCCTAGAAGAATTATCATTTTATATCAGTATAGCCTTACAACAGAAACGCTATTTTGGCATAGAAAAAATCACAAAGAGGAAATTGTTTACCATTATCCGATCGTGTGGCTTAAGAATTGCAGTGTAAACTTCAAAATTTGCAGGAGAGCCAGATAAGGGTTGAACATTTACACCCCACTTATTCCCATCCAAGTGAAATGCAGCCAATGCTCTCTCTTGACATAGTATTTCAAGCTCATCAATGTACTCATTTCCACCATAGTACCTTACATGCATAAGAGACTCTAATTAATATAACTAGAGAAGTGAGAAAGGGAGGGGGCGTTTAGTGAAACATTCCTTCACACAAAGGAAAAAATTTAGAGGAAGAAAACTCACCTTTTCCAGGTAAACCTTCTGAGTACTTGTTTGTGAGGCATGAACCAACGGCTTCCATAACTGCCCTCGATGTAAAATTTTCTGAAGCAATAAGCTCAAGGCTTTTATACTGCCGATTCTTTTCCTTGCCAATAATATCATAAACCTCAGGATCAGCTTCACTCAAGCCATAATCCAGGAAACTACTTCTATCACCTGAAAATATCATGTGATCCGATGGACCAAAACGTCAGTCTTTAGGCCAAGAATCAACAAACCAAATACCTCGAACACTAAACCAGGGAAAAGAATAAACTAATTATGGCATCAAAGTGTGTAAGCTTTGGGTATTTATTTTGTCTTTAAAAGTATATACTAGCTAGTCAGTCACATGAAATCATTCCATTTAAATGGTATGCTCAGTACTTACCTCCAATTTCAGGCACCGAGAGTGTAGACGGCCTCCCACCGACCAAACTTCCTTCAACATAAGATGCTTTACAAGTCTTCACGTTACTGAACTTTACTTGAGGCGTAAACCCATAACTGTCACACCCATGAGCAGGAAAATTAAGCACCTTAGCACATGCAGATTGTTGCCATGAGCCCATTATTGCAAATTTTCCACAGACTTGCATCCTCGATTATGATTTTATAATAAAAACCCCTGCATGGTTCATAATACATTATATGATAATGGCGAACTACAGCTCGTCATAATTGCAAAAGCTTCACCTCGAGCAAAAAATTCAACAATACTCAAAGGAAAAGAAACTGAATCATAAGAATAGTTTAACTTGATGCACATCTTTCGCCAACCAATTATTAACATATATTCTACCTGAAGATGATGCAATCAATGATCTCAGGCAGGGACGGTGACGCAGAGTCACTGACGACGAGCACGAAAGAGAACGAAAGACCAAATACACGAGCAGCAAGAACCGTCGGAAAACAAAAGATGAGATACCCCCGGGGGGAGGGGGGTCGCCGAGCTGGGAAGCGGAGTGAAGAGTGAAGACTGAAGACTGAGGAGGGTTCTGTGGTTTTTGTTTTTTGTCTGCGTGAGGGCACGTGTCGTTTTATAGTTTAGTTTTGTCCGAACGAATCTACAGGTGTACGGTGACCTCCGGCGTATTTTACTGCTCCCCCGCCACAGTAAATTATGTGATTTTAGAAAATAGTTAAAATAATTAAAAATAATTAATATGTGATAAATACAATTTTTTAAATATATTCTCTATATATAAATTGATAAATGTGAGAAAGTAATAGTGAGATAAATAAAAAATATATATTAAATATATTAAATTAGAAACAAAATAGGTAATAATTCATTAAATGTTGAGACAAATCAAAGAGTATTTTATAAAAAAGAAAGATCTATTCAAAAAATTAGATTTTATAATAAAAGACGGAGGGAGTATATTTTTATTAATGTTTTTCTAATGAATCTGTTAATATCATTTTATTTTTAATCTTTAATACTTATTAAAATATTTTTAAAAATATTATTAATTACTTCAAAAAAAAAAGAGCCGATGTTCACCACACATGGTCAACATAATCCCTTGAAGCAATAAATATTATAAAATAATTTTATATAATATTTATTGTATTCATATTATGAACATTATTATTTAATTATATCTTTTATTCAATTATAATTTAATTTCTAAACTTTAACTCAATACATGTTATTGTTCTAGTCATTTAAAAGTTTAAACATTAGTAAGACCTAACTTTAGTTATTATATTTTAAATTTTTTTAAATATAGACTAACATTTTCAGAATTGGATTCATGAATTGATTGAGTTCTAACTAAATTAAAATTACAAGATTAAATATTCATTTTATCTTATAATTATTAGAACTTTTAGCAAGGTTCATGCTCATCAACGGAATAAACAAAATATATGTATAATAAACATGCAAGGATCAAATTTCTTAGAAAAGAGTATTATTCAGAAATCCAAAACCAACATGTAAGTCATGTTTTCATCATCATATACATTACCTCCGATTCTAATTATAAAAGTTAATTGGCTAATTTGAGGAGATTACAATAATAAATTATGTTAGTTATTTATAATAAATAGGTATTATTCTTCTTAAAATATCTTTGCTAATCAAGGGTTTTGGCTAGAATTACATTATTAGAAGGATTACCTTATAAAAAATATATATATAAAAATAAAGTGGATAGATATTTTATATTTAGGATCAAAATAAAAATTAAATAAATTTTGTATAAAGGACTGGAAGTAGTAATAAAGTTGATTCATTCACACCAACTTTTTAAATAACTAATCAATAGTGGATCAAGCACGCTGCTCTTGACTTGTGTTTAGCTCCAACCTTTACCTAAAATTTTTAAAATTAAAAAAAAAACTCAATCGTACAATGTCATAAATCTCTTTAATTAATTAAGTTGACATTTCATAATACGCAAATGTTATTCTTTTAAGATAAACGAGTATACATACTTTATATATGATGAACAACGACCATGGCTTGCTAATTAATAGCCCAAGTTGAATTCTTAATTATGCCAGATTAACTAGTTTATTCAGTTTTTCTATATTTTACATATAATTGGACTAAGTCAAAATTAATATTGTGTGTGTGTGTGTGTGTCATTACGGATTTGACTTTTTATGAATGAAGAGAAAATGGAATGATGATTATCGAGCAAGAATTGCTACAGCTGGCTTGAGAGTTGAAATAAAATTTCAATGCTATTACGATTTACGGATTAATTAATTTATTTTAACAAATAACGTCATATAGTCAATAGAATGCAAGGGCTTTTTTTTTTTTTTAGCAAAATCAAAACTTAGTTATAAAAATAGATATTGAGGATGTGATTAAAGAGATTCCGAGTTCCAATTAGAAAAAAAAATAATAATCCATCTCCAATGTAACGCAATGAATAACGCCAAAGTGGAGGTGCTTAATTATTCACAATCTTCCCCTTTTTTATTTTTTAATAAAAAGTAAGGAGTACAGCTTGATATTTTTTGTTGAAAAAAACCTTGACTTGATATATTTAATACATATAAGATTTTTTTTGTTTTGGTTAGAGATCGTTTTTAATTTTAACTCAAGCAAAATTAATTTATTTTGTAATGACCACCTAACAAATAACTCCTTGAATTTTTGGGGAAAAAAAAAAATAAAAGTGCAGACAAAGCCAAGTGGCAGATTGTGTACCAAAAAAAAAAAGCCAACTGGTGGTTGTTGACAGCCAGATGATTATAAAAAAAATTGTTAAGTAATATTATTATTCTACTACAAAGTAAACCTTCTCTCTTCTAACAATATATATAATAAAATATATTTTATCGAAACAACATATAATAAAATATTAAATATTAAATATGTGATACTTTAATATAAAATTTTATTGATAATTTCTTGCTTGTTTCCTTTAGTTAGACTGGAGGATATTACATTTGATTAAATGACCAATATATCAATATAAAATTTCAAAAGTACAAGGAACATTGCTGTGCACATGCCACAAACAGTACAACTTATTATTTTTGAGACATTATATGGAAAATCCAACATATTCTACTAAGACAAGCGTGCATGATAAATTCTTGCAGAGTTTGAGAGTATTTAGAAACTAGGGTCTAACACAAACTCCATCTTTACTCACATATATTCTTTTTGCAGAGTTTCACATTAATTTCATTCTTCTTGTGCATGAGGTAAACTACTACCTAGCCAAGGGAGAGAATTCTGTACTTGTCATATTCAGGGAAACTAATTCAACTGAATCTCCTGTACTAACATCATTGTGTTTGGTTCTACCTCCTTCTGTAGCCAAACACTCCTTTAGTTCATTCACTACCTCATTCATGGTTGGCCTGTTGTTGGGGTTTCTAGACACACAAGTCATTGCCATTTCCACAGCTCTCCAAGCAGAGTTAGTATCAAACTCCCCACTTAACTTTGAGTCAACAATGGCCCTTATGTCCCCTTTAGCAACCATGGAGCTAACCCATTGACTTATGTGAGTTCTCTCATGGTTTCCAGATATTACTGGTAGACTTGTGATTATCTCAAAAAGAACTACTCCAAAACTATAAACATCACTTTTCTCTGTCAATCTGTTTGTTATATAGTACCTAGTAGATAAAGAAGACAAAATAACTAAGATCGTGTTAGTTTTCACATTGGAAACTCTCAATAACTAAGAATAACATTCTTTTAACAAAAGCAGAAAAGGCTAAGAAAGATAATGATTGATTGATTAAAAGGACTTACTCAGGGTCTAGATAACCAGGAGTACCAGCAACAACAGTTGACACATGAGTTCCACCATCAGTTGGAATAATTTTAGATAGACCAAAGTCTGCTATTTTTGCTCTGGAGTTTTCATTCAGCAAGATGTTTGACGATTTTACATCTCGATGAATTATAGGTGGCTTACATCCATTATGCAAATACTCCAATCCTAAACCAAAGTTGATATCAAATAACATTGAAGTGGAAAGATTTAAGTAGTGAAAATTGAAGACACAAGGAACATGGTTCATTTTCTGACCTAATGCTGCATCCAGTGCCATACGGAGTCTGTCTTGCCAAGTCAGGAACTTTGATTTGTTGTCTTTTCCTGCAGAATCAAACTCTGTAACTTTCTATACTTTCTGTGTTTTTTTTTTTGGGCTTAATTAATTGAAAATTGATTGGCACCAACAAACCTGAAAGGTACTCTTGTAGGTTACCATTAGCCATGTACTCATATATGAGCCCCTTGTTGGTTTCTTCGTTGCAATACCCAACAAGGGAAGTCAGATTTCTATGATGAACTCTCATTAAAAGTTTAACCTGAAAATCATACCCATGCTCAACCATAATAGATACTTATTAATTCAAAACTCGTGATTTTAGTACACTATTAATTTTTACCTCTGCTTGGAATTGCTGATAACCTTGAACTGAACATAGAGAGAGCATTTTAACTGCAACAGGAGTTTCAGCAATGTAGCCCAAATAAACTGTTCCAAACCCACCTTTTCCGAGAATTGTGCTGAAGTTGTTGGTCATTTTGAGGACATCATGATATGAATATTGTCTATTTGTGACTTGCAGAGTGGTATCATTTTGTTCTTCAACTTTTTCAACTTGCTGTGAGGTCTCAATTGGACTTGTTCCTAATTTGAGATCACGAAAAAGGTTTTGCTTGGTTCTTTCACAAGATCAACCAAAATTTTGTGCTTGTGGGTGTGAATGATAAAGAGCAGGCTCACCTCTTGGCTTTCTCCTTTTAAGGGTAAAAAATATAATTGCCGCGACCACCATAAGGAGCAGAACTCCAGCAACTGATACAACTACGGGAATAATAATATTGCTCTTTTTCTTCTTGTCGCATGGAGGAGATTCACATAGATATGGATTTTCTCCAACACTAGCATATGGAAAGACACATAAGCTATTATGTTCATTGGTAAATAAACCTTGCAGGTACTCTATAGCTCTATGTGGGTATAGAGATTGAGAAATATGAAAATTTATATGTCATGTTTCCTAAATTCATGTAACAATAACTTTTAGGATATTAGGATTTTTACAAGAGCCATACCTTAGTGACAGGGAACCCTTTGATTTTTCAACCAGCTCAGTGGGAACCGTACCTGTGAAGTTGTTGTTCTGAATGTTTCTGCAAAGTTAATCCAGCTATAATATCCTGCTTTGAACCTATGGGATCTGATTATTGTTCATTTAATTACAAACAACTTACAAGATCTTCAAGTTTTGTAGCCGAGACAGAAAATCTGGAACTGGTCCACTTAAGCTATTATTTGATAAATCCCTGAAAAAAGAAATTTTCTCCCACTTAGAACGAGATTGCCTTATTGACAACCTAAAGAAATCAGTGAAAACATTCTGAAAGAAGGGTTGTGCTAGGCCACAGTGAAAAATACTCACAACTTCTCCAACATGGTAAAATTTGAGATGGAAGGATCTATCTGTCCTGTCAATCCACTTGAAGATAAATTCCTGTTTTGCTTTTCCAATATTATTAGAAGTTCTGATTCAAGTTTAATTGAGTAATAACATTAATTTAGGGAAAACAAGCTTACAGGGCTGTGATTCTTGGGGAATTCTGGCCATTATAAGTGCAATTTAGACCTTCCCAAATGTAGTCCACGGGACTACATGGATCTCCTTGCCAATTTCTTGTCAGCCCATAAGAAGACTTGATTGTTGTAATTGCGTCAACTATTTCTCAAAAAAAAAAAAAGTTAGCCCAAATCATATATCTTCTTGACCAGATGCTTTGAAAAATTAAAGAATTCTTAGGTAAAATTCAGTCTATAAAATGAAATCAGTCTAACTCAACCACAGAGAAACAGATAATATATATCTCTGGCATGTCTATTCCTGATTCTACCAAAGAGTTCTTTCAAAAGATTATATTTGCAGATCATACCATCTTCTTGTTCTGTTTCTGACTGCAAAAATTCTTTAACTGTATAAATTTCAATGGCGTTGAGAATGGGAGGGAGGGTTGAATGCTTAGTCTTCTTAAGCAAAAACTGAATTTTTTCTCCGGTGGTAGCATACTTGCTGAACAAAGTGGTTGTGACTTGGTACTGAGGCACAAGATCAGCATAGAAGAGATCGCCATTGAGGGTAACGGTGAATGATCTTGTCTGATTCTTTTCCAAGACTTGAAGCTCTGCAAAATGCATGTAAACATAGAATTGGTCTGTTGCATTTTTGGGCTCCCACCACACTAACATTGGAGCACTTTCATTTACTGGTGTGGCTGCATTACTCATAACAATGGCTGGTGGATTGTAATGATTTTGAACCAAGGAATCTGCGGAAATTGAAGCACTTATTTGCGTCCAGTCCGGGATGTAGGCTTTATATGACCAGAAGCGACCATAAATATCATAACTATATCTGTGTCAAAATCAATCTCTCATCAGATTTGCAGAATTCTTTTTGATGTAAAGATGAGGTGAAGGATGTCACATGTTATCTTTCCTTTATCTTGTGGAAAAATAATTGATTTATAACCTATTTGGTCTAGTTATGGAAGAAAAGTAATTGCTTAAATTTTACTTAAAAGAGTGCCCTTTACCTCTTATATGTGGAATACTAATTAAACTAAATAGCATGCTCAATGAAAACCAAATCTTAAGAATACAAGCTTTTTTTAAAGTAAATCAATTAAAGAAAGGATTTACCTGTATTTTCTTTTGCTGGTTGAGCCTAAATCCAACCTCGAGTAAAGTGACAAGGATCCAGATTGAGTAACATAAGTATCGTTCATCAAATTCCTTAATTCTATAGCAGAGATAAATGGGGTTCCAGAGCCTGTGTCAACCAGACAGATTTGTATGTAATCTAGTGATGGGACATGTATGATCTCAGGGCTTAGTAACAGAGATGCATTGGTTATTTCCACTGTTTCCCATACGTTAGGCCCAAGATGAAGATCAAAACTTGGTAACTCATTTTGGCCATCATAATTCCCGTACAGAAAATTAGCCCTGATCAAATATTTAGAGCCACTTGTGATGTTTATTCTGTAGCAGTTTCTTGTTCCTTGAGGAAAGCTTCTCAGGTTCCAAAGTTGCCGTTGATACATGCTTTGGAGCTCACTGGTTATGGAGTTACTAACACCAGAATTTATGAACTTCTCATCTGATATGTAATTTATGCCTGTTGTCTTCTCTTTATAGGTGAATTTTGCAGGTATCCCACAATCTATGCTTATGAATCCTGAAACATAGTGGCAAAGGTTAATTCTTGTTAAATAGTAACGCAATGAATTTTATGCCTTTTTGGCGGCAAATTACCTGATTGATCCTGAGATTGAACCAGAACTGCAAAAAGCAGACAACCTACGAGAGAAGAGAAGAAACACTTTGACATTTCCATTACTCTCTGCTAAGGAAGACAAGAAGGTGAGTGACATGTTTGGTACTTATACAAGAAAATGTGCTGTACACTTGTGACGCAGTCAATGTCACCCTGTTGGCATTGGGTTTATTTTAAAGAAAAATCGTAATTGGATTTGATTATTAGAACAGGTATACTAAATCACAGATAGACATATCTTATGACAAAACTTACTTTAAAATATATCTTTTTTATCAATGCAGAGTTACATGCGCCTCAAAAACTGAGTTATGTTTCAATACATAATATGACAGTTGCACAGGGGAATTTCAATAGAAGTTTGTTGTGTGAAAGAATTGTATTCCTCCGTGGATTCTTTCCCAAAATACAAAAAAGTCGTATGCCGAATTGATTTCATTATTATATTGTAGCCTCATAAATTGCATAGTTTGCTGAAGGAGTGGATTATGAACATTCTCATTTCCTTGTTCCTCTGTTTGCAGCTCCTATATCATGTACTTTATGAATTTGCTCAACCTTATTTTTCATCTTATTTCACCTTTTTCATCAAGAGTACTTTCAGATTGAGATTCTGAAAGTTTCCTGCTATAGATTTGTTTTGCTTTCTTCTTTCTTTTTCTTTTTTTCTTCCTTTTTTGGCTACTGTCTGAATTTGACTACATAAATTTCTGGATGATTTATTGGAGAGTCCCATGATGTGTTTGGCCATGATCTTGCCGCTTAATTAAGGTGCTATGGTAAGAACAACCAACTATTACTTCCGATTTTTAATATAAGACCTTAGTTGACTTTTATTTTGATCCTAAATATAAGACTACAATCCACTTTGTCTCTCATATTTATATATTTTGTTTTCCAAGATAGTCCTTCTAATTGTTGTAGTTTTAGCCAACACACTTGATTAGTAAGAATATTTTATGAAAGATAATATCTATTTACTACAAATAACTAACTTAATTTATTTCTTTAATCTCCTCAAATTAGTCTACTAGCTCTTATAATTAGAACCGGAAGTACTATCTGATAAACTTCTGACTTTAATTTCCTAAGATATTTATTCATCATAACATAAGAATCTTATAGTTAGATGTCTCTCTCTCGTATGGAAAAGTCAACCCATGAGAGTCTTTCATAAGTGACGAACTTCATTAGGTAGACGTGCTGATCAATGTTGTGATCTAAGATAATGTACTTTGTTTGGTTCAGGGGAAGGGAGGGGAGAGGAGGTTATGGTTTTGTTTGGTTGGAAGGGAGGGGAGGCAAGGGGAGATTTCTTGTTTGGTTCATAAGAGGAGGGGAGGGGAGGTAATTATAAATTGATAAATATGCCCTTATCTCTATATTTAGACTGATTTATTTTTTTTATTACAATATTTATGTCAAAATTATTATTTCTTAATTTATCAATTTTAAAAAAACCAATTACCTCACTTACATGTGATAAAAAAAATAAAACTAAAAAAATTAGAAAATATGATAAAAAATTTAATATTCTATCTCATTAATTTTATAAATATATGTATTAATATATATGATATGTATATATTATATAATTATAACACGCACGTTATGATATACATATATTAATATATATGCATGTTATCTGATATTATAATATAGACGCTATGATATATAATTATAATACACACATGTTATGATATGTATATACTAATATATATGATATGTATATATTATATTATAATTATCAAATATTATTAGTGGCTAAAAAGAGAAAAAAGTGAAAAAAAAATTTTAATAAGATAGACAAACTTGGAATATTGAAAAGTTAATATGGGTAATTTGATCAATGTTAGATATAATATTTCTCTTCCCTCCAAAAAACCTTAAATTTTGAGGGGAGTATGGGGAGGGAAGAGGAGCACTAAAAGACAAATTTTTTCCCTCTCCTCCCCTCTATATTTTCCCAACCAAGCACACTTATCCCTTCTTTCCCCTCCCCTCCCTTCAAAAACCCTCCAACCAAACAAAGCCTGACCAAAGGCCTTATAAGATTCATTGCTCAAAACTTGAATTGGAAGCAACTGAATCTGCAATTTTTTTCATTTGAAGATGCAGAGACTAGTGACTTAAGGTTACAAATGGTATCGAATATGTAATTGACCTCAAAAAAGGAAAGCTTTCCAACCACTTGGCTATAAGACTTCGACAATCTGCAAATTAATTTTTACCAACAAAGCAGTTTTGGTATGCTTGATATTGATTTTTTTTTTCCTTATACTCCTCAACTCCTTAATGTAGAATCTAATTGGAGAGTTAATACTAGTCTTATATTTACTACTTCCAATCTTTAATATAAAAACTATTTTGATATTTAATTTGGTTCTAAATATAAGAACTTTATTACTCATTTTTATCTTTTTTTCTTTAAAGTAATCCTTATATAACAATTGTACATGTTAAAGGTTTTGTAATTCTAACTAATATACTTGATTAGTAAAGGTATTTTATGAAAGACAATATTTATTTATTACAAACAACCAATTTATCTAATTTATTTAATCTCCTCAAATTAGTCAATTAATTCTTATATTATTCACACGAGGTAGTACTGATTTTCCATTAGATTGTAGGAGATTACAAATAGGATATTTATCATGCTTTCTGTCTAGTTGTCCCTTGTTCGAGTGGCCTAGACATTTATAGCCTTTCAATCCCAAAAGAGAGAGAAAAAAAAAAAAGAATTTACAGAATTCACACGAGAATGAAAGAAGCGCCTCGAGAAAATTAATATTCTATTCGGTGCTATATATACAATTCTTTTAGGAAAAAACTTTTAAAAAAATATTGTTAAATTTCAAATTTTCAAATCAATATTAGTTACTATATTCATAAATTATCCTTGAAAAATAAATGACTACACATTTTTATAATAATTTTTTATTTAAAATTTTAAAATTCAACAGTTATTTTTTTTTAAGGATTTCCCCATTCTTTTAACCAATTTTTAACAATTAAGAACATAAATTAAATTCGTTACTAATTCTTTTACGAAAACTAATCAAATAACCCATTTAAAAATTATACTATTTCCAAATGATCTTCAATGTTCAATAATTGAAGGTTTGTAATTAGAATTAATGATTTGATCTGACAAGATCCTTAATAAAATTAATTTGAAGGCCGACTAGTGGAGTCATCTTGCGAAGTTAGATCCTATAAAAGAACCAGAAGATGAAGAATATCGAAAGTCAATATTCAAGTTGATGATGAGGAATTTGAACAAGAGACAAGAAGGTCGTCTCAAGATGAGGATTAAAAAAAGAAAGGAAAATTCATTGCCCTAAAATCTAAATTTTATGTAATTTTTGTAATAATAATTATTAGAAAAGTATGATTAAATTTGTTCGAACCTTTTTATTATTAATAACAATTTTGTTCAAATATTTTTTTTAGTTTTTATTATTAGCAATTAATAAATCAATGAACTAGTTAATGATGATCTTAAATAATAACAAATAAATGAAAAAACGTTACATTATATTCTCTTTTTCAGATGAAGATTTCCAAGGGCGGTGGGAAGAGAAAACTGATTGAATTTTTATTTTTTTGCCATCAAAAAATTGATTGAATTTGATGACTCTATAAATTTAGATATATGGGTCAGCTAAGTTTCATAAATTAAAATTGAATTGAAATGGGATTATATCTAAATATAGGTTAAAGTATACACTTGGTGATTTAACTTTAAATAATATTATAATTTAGTCCCTCAACTTTTAAAAGTATATTTTTGATTCTTTAACCCTAAAATCATTAGACTTAAATGATTTTTTTTGTAACAATCACGGTTGTTTTGAGAATTAAACTTAATATGTTGATGCTTGAGAATATTTTGTTAACATATACAATCTCAATTTCATTATTTTTTGTTAACAATTTTAGGATTAAAATATTAAAAGTATATTTTTTAAAGTTAAGAGACCAAATTAAAACCTTATACAAAATTTAAAAGAGAAAACTAATCTCCAAGTCCCTATACTTTACAACAATTTTTAATTAGGTCCTTTTAGTTTGATTTGTTTGAATTGGGTCCTTATATTTTACTCTGTTAAACTCATCACTCCTTGGGGCTTTAACACCGTTAAAATTAATTGAAGTGGTTGACATATCGGTTGCTTGGCGACTAATTGTGCACACAAGTAGGTATTCTTGTCCCTGGAGGCAGGCAGTGACTCATCTCTCATTTATGCAGAATAAAAATTAAAAAGTTAGCAAAAAAAAAAGATTAAAATTAAAATAAAAAAAAAGCAATGTGTTGAAAAGTTTCGCCCTCATCGGCGCTTCTCCCAGGTGAAGTGAAAGAATGGAAGAGGTGATCACTGCATCTAATGCATCATAATGGAAAAACAAAAAAGCTATTGTTTGAATTTAGTGAAAATTGCAACTTTCTTTTTATTCCTTCTGGGAAAAAAATGAAGTGAAATATTTTAGCTAAGATTGAGAGTAAAAAACTAAAAATGAGATCCATTCCATCTAGGAGAAGCATCGGTGAGGATGAATTTGGTGAAATCGAAAACAGTGGTGGTGGTGAAAATCAAAGTGCTAAGGGTTGACACTGCCGATATAGATGAGGTTGTAGAGAATGACGGTGTGGCGACGAATGAAGTAAGGGAGGATTCGTAGGTGCCAAAGCCATGGGAGAGGACGATCCAGCTCTTTGGTTTGGTCGATTTGGGGGGCTCTGGTCTCTAATTGTTCATGGGAGGTGAAATAATTTCTCGAATAGTTGATGTTTGAATGCTTAAAGGTCGGTATCCGATGAATTTGGTGCTTGATGAGGTCAATTTAGGTCTCTGATTTGTTTCTTGAATCATTCATGTTGAGTCTCCACCTTGTGGTAATCGACGAGGATGGTGTCCTAGAACGATAATTATTTTAACTAAAAATGAAATTTCAATCATTTCAAATTATATTTATATAAATATATATAATAAAAATAAGTATCTATATGTGAACACAGTCAGCCGCCAACTCATCAACAGGTCAGTCGATTCGGT